AACAAATTATGATAACCATACTCTCACTAATAAGGTAAACTTATCCAACAAACACACAAAGCCAAATACATTACTAATATTTTCCCTATTAAAGGATTCAAGGTATTTTTCATTAAGTATGTTCATTTTTCTCCATCTCTGTTATCCTGTGACTTAAATATTTAGACATAAAGTATTTTCAATATAGTTTATATTAGATGACATTTGGATCAAAAAGTAGAAGGAAAAATATTCAAACACATTCACATTAAAATAAGAGAACTTTTTTTCAGTATGATTCTAATACCTGTGGTCATCAATAGTAATTCCTTCACTCCCCCTTTTTTTTTCCTTTTCCCATTAAAAAAATGCCTTTGATAGTGTTGTTGATCCCTAACTAGTAGTGCCAAGTGAGATTGCCCAAAACTTCCTCCAGACACTATTGGTCCATTAATAGCCCACTGAATTGGGGAGTGTTGGTATTCTTATATTAACTACATCCCAAAGAAGTACTAGAGAATATTCTTCATTCCATGCATGTGCCTCCTTTACTTCAGGTCTGCAGTGACAACCAGATCCCCCTTGATTATCAGCACCAATTATGACCCAATAGTCCCAACTTGGTCTAAAATTCTCTGTCATGAATAGACAAAGGGAGCTTTAGATCCAGGTTAATGCAGTCATCCTGTGTCTCCCGAGGAAGCACCCTTCTTCTGGAACTAAGGCATCTACTCTAGAACAATACAGTGTAAAATCACTGAGATGGGAGGTAAACATTGTGCTAGTTGGTACTAGGGATATTGAGTGGAGAAACTCCCATTTCCAAGCCCTGATTCAAGTTCTAGGAATCCTGAATATGCAACAAATAACATCATGTATTAAACAAAGGCAAAAACACCTCTGGCTTTATCATTGAGTTCTCAAAAGAAACTCAAATTTTTCCCAAGCCTGGTGATTAACGATGTAGGGAACAATCATAAGAGTACTAATGGCAGAAACTGGCCTCATTGCTGCCCTTTTTGGCTGTGAAATAATTGTTGTTCTCAGAAGACCCACATTGAATACGATGATGGTGGGTAAGATGTTCCCTATGTCCATGGATACCAGTTTAGCAAAGGAATTGCAGGCAAGAAAAACAAGCTCTCAAAGGGCAAATTCCACTTTCAATAAGAGCTAAAATCAGTCTTTCATGAAGAAAGTTCTAATGTCTTCAATCTTTCCTCAGGTACTGACTGCTTCCCACAGGGAATAACCTCATATTGGGAACTCAGTGTAGGTTTCTGCTCTTGCCACATGGAACAGAGGCTATAGTCAGGTAATCTTAGTGAGTGGGAAACCACATTCATGACCCCGTGAATAATTTTCATTCATGCCACCATGGAGCTTCTTTGACAAAAACGTGTGTCTGGGGAAGAAAGCCAACTGACAGCCATGGAATGAGGCAAGATCCATCTAATCAGTAGAATAATTTCCTTCTCAGGTCACTCTTTGATGAGCATTAGCTTATACCAAAATGCTTTCATGACCTTTGCAAATACACAATGAGTTCCCTAAGAAGGGTTTTCTTTATGGTAAAAAAAAAGTGATGATGAAATCATTCACCTAAAATCAAGGTTTAATTCCTATGAACAAAAATGTGAATGATAGCAGGAGCTTTTAACTTTTAAAAACTAAAAAAATGTTTTATTCTTGCACCCCAAAGTCA